TTCACGGATCCACGACCGATCCTTCGGTTCGTCAGCGTGCAAACACGATCGCAGATTGTCACCGATTGTCAGAATGGTGTCGTTCGAGCGTTTCGCGCGCCGACTACCATTTCGGGATTCGATTGGTCGTGTAATTAGCGGCCGTCGATCTGAGAGAATCTCCAACGATTCGTTTGGGATGAAATTTACAGAAGGAAACTAACTCGCTAATGTAGCTTGCCGTAACGAGACGAGTGTCGAATTGGCCAATGTGTTGATTCTTGTACTTTGATAGTAGAGAATGATGAATGATCTCGTATAAAAGGGACCACTTTTTTTTAGAGGAGAAAATTCAGCGAACATTTGAGAAAGTTGCATTTATAGTTTGCGAAATGATATTCGCATGTCTGCTGAGATGCGTTTATATATATATATATATATATATATATATATATATATATATATATATTTTATAACGTGTTTTGTTAAACAAAATATGCGATTCATGCGTGTTTTGTTAAATAATATGATCATTCTTTGTCAACCAGAGAATTAAATTATGATCGTAAATGATGGTCCAGGATCGGTCAAGTCCGATCTACAGAACTACACTTGAGAGAAACAGTCAGCGGATTGCGAGTACTTTAGAAATTATAAGCGAGATGCGAAACTATTTTCTATTATTGAAATATACATACATGCATGCATGCATATATACAAAACATAAAATGTGTCGTGAAATCAAGTTCAATCGAAAGGAGATACTGAAAACAATCGACGAATAATGAGCATTCTGACTGCTGCGTATTAAAAATCATAAATTAAAGACACGAATCTATGTTTTATGTTGTCGTTAATTTAACGATCGTTATAAACAGCGTTTGTCAAAGAAATAGCTGTTCCATCATTATACAAAATGACTTGACAAATATTAATAAATGTAGATGGTTTTTTAAGTAAATGACTCGATAAGTACTTGAAGCAAGTTATTGGTATTAATGCAATTGACACCATTATGCATGATTTTGTAAAAGTAAAATGAAAAAGTAAATTACTTTTAACGGATAATGGTTTTTCTATGTAAAAAGCATTTCGATGTTCTACAGTTTGAAATCTACTTTCGCGAGATATAGTATCATTAAAATTTAATAACGTCTAAATACCGCGAGATAAGTTAAATGGCAGCTAATAGATAAAGTAAGAATACTTAAATACATTGAAAAGTTAGTCGATAATTTAAATTGTTATAATTTCGTAACAAAAAATTGCATGCTTGCAAATAAAATGAAAAATGAAGACACTTGTCTTCAAAAAAAAAATCGTGAAAATTCAAACGGTGAAAAATTTCTTTTATGATTAGATCACTTTACAACGATCTCTTGAACTTGCGATTAATATCAAGGTTACATATCGAAACACTAAGGTTTCTTGAATTTTTGTCGTTCAACACTGTTCAAAGTTCGACAAAATGGTGAAAATATGTAAATCGTCTTCGGAAGTTTCAGGCAGTCTTGTAAAGAGATTTCAATTTCAATTTTAAACATTGTTACAAACAATGTTTGTCAAAGGAGCAGGTGTTTTATTATGGTACAAAATGATTTTGATAACTTTCCAGGAAATATTTTGATCTTGAAGAGATCAGTGACGTTCTCTGCAATCTCAATCCTCAGTCAATGTCGCTGAATTACTGTCAAAAAACGACAGTAATTTACATTGGAAAGCTAAAATTTAGGATATTTAATTTTATTTGCATTCTGCGTTCTCCGCAACAGAGATAAGTAATAAAGCAAGATTAACATAAAAACTCCGAAATTAATTAATTGAACAAGCAAGATTAACATAAAAACTCGAAATTAATTAATATCGTTACTATCATCAATAACTCACTGATATCAATTAAAAGTCTAAAGTCAAATAGACGTGGATAAAATTCTTGGCCGATTGAACGAAACAGAAAATTGATTGGTCAAGTTTTAAAAATTCTAAAATTAATTTATCTATGATTAAAAAAAAAGAAAGAAGAATAGAAATGCTACCAAGATTGAAAGCACCTAAACGAGACGGATTCATGAAATAATCTAATATCGTAATGTAAACAAAAATTCAACAAAATTACCATACGCACACATATAGAAAAAGTAGAAGTACATGTGCTATAGCTCTCGCAATAACCAACCCAACACACAAGCTTGACCGTGTACAGTGCGTTCTCAACAAAAATCCAATTAGCTCCAGATATAGTTCTACGTAGGAAAAGAATTTTTCCTAAAACGTCGTACTTCCTAATGTACCAGTTTCTAGAAAAAAAAAAACGAATAATTCCGATACTCGTCCCAGAATCCATTTAGATAAATCTAGATTAACAGTGGTATTGGAAGATCGGTGTTACAAGATAGGACGAGCCAGTGTCCAGTGGATAGAGTTTTGCGGGCGAAGAGTCATCAAAGCGTCGGGTGTACGCACACGAAAATGCGTATCCGGTGTCGTGTACCCGCGGCCGGTGAATTCGAATCCGGCGACAAAATGGGAACGCCATTATCGGCTCGTACGTGTGCGTCGTCGTATTATTATATTCTAGCCGCGCTCGCTGGCGAAATAACCAAGCGATCCACGGTTTATTAACATGGTGAACGCGCACAGGTTGCCGTTTACGTGGACAATGCTCGGCCCGTTAATAATTTCATTGCGGATGCTGAATCGTTTCAACGGGTTAACCGACCGCGTTACGACAACGACGGGGAGACCCGAGCGCCGAGTGTCTCTCCAGCTTCGTAAAAGCTGCGCTCCTCGCGAAAAACAGACAACGCCTGGAATAAAAGAAAGAAAAAAAAGAAAATGAAAAAATAAAAAATAGAACAGAAAAAAAAAAAAGAAAAAAGAGCCACCCAGGTGGCTCTCGAATGGAATAAACGCTGTTCAAAATCGAGTTACCACGCGACAAGTCGCGGCGGTCGCGCTGCCCGGCTCGAACCGAGTTTGTTTAGCGAAACAACACTGTCAACTAATCTTTAGAATGACCGCGAGCAATTAAACAGGTATCCGACAGGCAACGATTAATTGTAAAAAAACTCGAACAGCGAACAAAGGGCGATAGATATGTATTCGATGGACAAAGCGTCGTGCTGGACGGTTCGAATGATCAAAGGTACAGCGACTAAACGCGCGCTATTAAAATTGGTTTTCACCGCCGGTTTCAAGAATCGAATTCCTCCCTTCCCACTGATGCCTCCCTGATTTTATTTGATTTGTTTGGCGTAATTGATTGTCGATTTTATTTGCACCGGCTCCACGAGTATAATGCAAATAATCAGCTGCATGTCCGGAAGTGCATGTCCAGAGAATCCAACAGTCAAAAAACGATACTACGTAAGAGAGAGATTATTTATTTATTTATTTAGTTTCATCCTTGTCTTTCGACTTTGGATGACTTCTGGCTTCGTACACTGATATATACATATACAGAATCATCTTATTTCTAACCGAGCTATAGTATTTATAATCTATTAGAATCTACATCTCTGTAAAGTCTTTGGCTCCTTGTCCTTGGTCGCTAATGCACTTATTCACTTCCTTTTCTTTTCTTGCTCGTAAGAGAGAGATTTCGAAAGGAAACAGTCTTACGCTGCTTGGGATAGATTGGTTCACGACGACGAATTCAATTAAATTTAACAAATTGGAGCTATGAATATTTCCAGCAGTGACAGTGAAATCAGTTGTGCGTCAAATCGACGTTTGAGAGACTTTGAGAAGCCTCGTGGTCAATTAATTTGCACGGGGTTTTTCTAAAATTCTAGAACTTCCAATTCTAAAGAGATGCGAATTTTAAAAATTTACGTTGTAACGAATTTTTAAGCATTTCAATTGAATGGTAAAATGATGTGATGAGGCACGTGTAAAATTATGTTATGTAAAGGTAAATTTCAGTTTAAATTAGAGCTCAAGGTAAAGAAAATTGCGCATTTACGACGAAACTGCAGGTTCTTCGGAAAAGTATCATTATTGATTTTATTTATCAAGGAAACGACACAATTCTAGGCCAATTATGACCTGCTACGCTACTATGCACTTCTAGATAGTCGAGAAAACGTAAAACGCATTTATAAAGTTCAGGATAATGTTACATAAATGAAAAGAACCTATAATTTCACTCCATCGGTGAAATTATGAAAATTGACGAAAAACGTTCTGACAATTAATCTAGAAATGTCTGTACATTTCCACAGTGACAATTCGAAAAAAGCACGCTTTTTCCTTTTTAATTTCGTCACTTTTGTCGGCGTGATAGAAACAGAGAAACGATTTCAAATTTGAATTGATGAAAATTTGAATTATGCATTGATTGAATCGTAGAATATAGGATTTATGTATTTATTGGAGAAAAAGTGCGTGAAAATAAATTTTATAGATTCCAAAGAAAAAAAAAAAGAAAAAAAGGAATAATGCAATTTAACCGACCGAGGTATACGCAACGTATATATATTATGAAAGTTCGAGACGATCGCCAATAACACGATTTAAAACGTGTTTTTTATCTCCATTGTTTAACTATCGCAAGAATGTCTCGAGAACGAAAATACGAAACGTTTTCCTTTGGAATCGCAGAATGTAACAACGAGTCGACCACCGCGGTCAAATTTCCACAGAAAGGGTTAAATAAAACGCTGCAGTCACGGGACAAACCGAACAGGACGATCAAGAGAAAAAAAAGAGAGAGAGAGAGAGAGAGAGAGAGATTGGCAGACGCGATAATCGCTTCGCCTCGCCTCGCGAGGAATCCGGCTCGGTGCGTTAATCGCGGCGGAAAATACGCGAAGGACGAGAACGACGATCTTGACCTTCGTCGAATCGTCGAGCCGATGGAGAACCTATCGAAAACGAATCTATTCGACGTTTTTCCCGAAGCGGGTGATGACTCGCGTGCGCCATCCGCCGCGCCGGGGAGAAACAGCCACCGCTGGGTGGGAGATGAATTATAAAGAGACGTTCCACCGGTGAGAGGTATTACAGTTATACTTTGCTCGCACACGCGGCACGTGCCGGAGTTTTCGTCCTGTCACGCGTGCATACTCGCGAAACGTTTTGCCAATTCGTCAAGCTGTCCACTCTCTCGCGTTCCAGCTAATCGCTCGCGTCGACGTGAAACAATTCAAGGTACCTGTCGTCCAATTTTTAAATTATTGCGCATCGATCGGCAAATTCGCGACGAGTCGAGCCGGGAAGAAAGAGGAACGAGATTCGTTTGCCGATGCTTTCGAAGGCAATCGAAAATCCGTCGAGAAATTTAATTTGAGAAATTCTAATTTGGCTAATTTCGCATCTGGCTCACGGAGCAAAAAGAGAGAAAAACGCGGAACATTTTCTCGTTTCATTTCGAATAGAATGGACTTTAAATACAGCTCGTTAAAAATTGCTCTCGTACACGTGCACCTGATACGTATGCTATCGAATTAAATTTTCTCGGGAATGAAACGTCTTGTGAAAAAAAATTGCGTTTCGCATTTTTCGCTTATTTCCCTCGTCCCCCCTCCCCCTTCCCCGCGTAAAATGATCTCCTGATTATTCGCTTCTGGATAATTTAATTTAACTCGAGTACACCTGAGAGACGCTCGATTTTTTTTCAAAATGAATTTCACTCCTTCTTCTCGACTCATTTTTACACATAGAGTCATCCCTACCGTCGATTGTCCACGAATAAATACTTATCGATTGAGACACGCTGTATAAAACACAAATTCAAACAAATCTTCTCAACTTATTTCCAACACAACACAATTAATGGAACAGTCAATATCAATTGAAAAAAACAATAACTGAGGATAACTGAAGCTTAATTTTTCAGAAACACGTTTAAAAAAATAAACTCCAAGTACTTTAACGTTCGCACAGATTTTTACGAATAGTCAACTAAACAATAGACGTGTCCCCCACTTCAGATTAAATATTAATTAAGACAGAACAATTCGATCTGAGTCGCAGCGAGACAAAAGAAAATGAATATTTATCGATCGCGGCTATAGAAACGAAATAAAAAAAAAAAAAGGATCGATCTTTCCACGGAATTGCGCCAGGCGCCTAATTATTTGTCTGCTAGACTATCGTCAGTCTATTGCCAGTGAAACGGCGAGCATGATCGACGATGGGAAAAAAGTGAAACTGGGAATCGATTATCCGTTGGATAATCGATTCGCCTGGACCAACGACACGGCCGCGATAAAAAGAATTCTCGCGCTCGCAACGCGATAAACAATGAATTATGCTCGTTGCTAAATCGCTCGGTAACGGCGTGGCACGCGATTTTCCCGCGAAAACAGCTGGACGCCTGGTGTAATCGTTGCCTCTCGTTAGGAAAACGCGTTTTAATAACCATCGCGTGTGTCCTCCCCTCTTTCTTTCGCGCTTCATTTCTTTGTTCTAGTCCCCGTTTATTAATTCCAGCGTGGCGAAACCGCGAGCCGAGGATGGCGATGGCTCAACGACGTTAATTAATTAGAGGTAGATTAATTTAACGCGGCCGCGAATCCGACACGAACGCGTGGAACCGATTCTTTCGTTCTTATCGCGTCTTATCGGTAATTTTCGAAACACGTGATCGGTGTAATTCAACGTCCCTGACTACAATTGGCAAGCACCGAAACGTTGACCGGCAAGAAATTTAAACATCGTTGTCGATCGTTTCTTCGAACGTAACTCGGCGGTTGATACTGTTACTGTCAGTGTCCGGACGATTTTCGATTTAATCGTTGAAGACAATACATAAGGAATTATACATATAATAACATCCGAGTTGATTTAAGCTGTTGTGAAGAAATGTTACAACGAGAGAAATAAGTGATTTCGATGTGTGAACATTGTTGATTTCTTTTCGCGTAAAATAGTCAATTGTTCGACCTTCTCAATGAATTGTGCTTTCTAAATGCACGATTTAGTAAAAACAAGGATTAACAAGTGCGTGTTGTCGAAAAGTATAGAAGATATTTCAAATTTGTGCGAGACGTGACAAAAAAAGGGAGAAAATTGGCGCGTTATATATAATTGAAAGTCTCTTTGATTAATTATTTCTCGACGTACATAAGTTCGTATTATCTTTCGCAGAAAATGTTGAACGGTATTGATTAATGCATCGTGAAATGTATGATTCTATTGAGAAGAAAGGAAAAAAATGAAGTTAATCTTTGTGTCTACGTGCAAAAGGAAATTAATATCATTAATATTGTGAGATTGAATCATCGAAATATGTATGCACACCTCGGAATTGTTCATCTTTCATTACAACATTTCACGCTACAGATAATAATAGTGATATAAATTCAGGTGGTGACATTAAGTAAGACAAAGCTAAATTGTCGATTAATTAATTTTCGAAACACTGAAACTTTTTTTAATTTTTGATCTTCTGTCGATGAAAATTTAACAAATTAATTAACAAATTGATTGAACTTAAAATCATAAGGTAAAACTTACTTTTACTTTAACATTAATTAGACAACAACATCCTTTTCTACGTTCACATTGTTGGAAAATAAAGAACTCGAAGTGTCAAACAAAATATCGATAATTTCTTCGAGTATGTCAGACAGATATAAATACTTCCGTGAGGTATCAAACGAGTCTTGATTCGATACAGTATTGATTTGGTATCAATTCAGAAACAATCAATATCGTTTTGACTGATACCAAGTATTCAAAATTTCAATACGTATTAATACTTTCCATTGAGTGTATTCGTAACCGAATTGATCGAATATCATCGATAATCATTCACCATTGTCGGCTGAATATAAAGGACAAGTATAATTAAATAATAAGAGAAATTGTCAAACGAATATCAAACAAATTTTGATTCGATGTCGAACGAAGAAGAATTAACAATAATAGATTTCAAGCGCCCGAAATTTCGATTGAATTGTTCCTGTGTTTTTCTACTGTAGACAAAGATTATCCATTCGATCAGTAGAACAATAACCTGAAAAAGTATTAATAGTTTGATTCGTTAAGTAACAAACAGATTCCTATTCGGTATAGCATTGCTTCGATATCGAATCAAAAACAATCAATAACAATCATTAATACCCAGCAACCAAAATTCCGATCCAGTGTTTCTGTGTCTCCCTATTGCAGCGAACGAACATCATCGATATTGATTCAATCACCGACTAGAACAACAGTTTCGTTAAGTAACAAACAGATTCTGATTCCATACGATTGGTTCGATATCGAATCAAGAGGAATCAATAATAATCATACCAAGTACCCGAAATTTTGATCGAGTTCTTCCGTATTGTAGCAAACGAACATCATCACCAATTAAAATAACTTGAACAAGTATTAACAGCTTCGTCAAGCAACAAACAGATTCTGATTCAACACGATTCGATATCGAGTCAAGTAAACTCAATAATTGACACCAAGTACCCGAAATTTCGATCGAGTTCTTTCGTATTGTAGTAAACGAACATCATCACCAATTAAAAATAAGTTGAACAAGTATTAATAGCTTCGTCAAGCAACAAACAGATTCTGATTCAACACGATTCGATATCGAGTCAAGTAGACTCAATAATTTACACCAAGTACCCGAAATTTCGATCGAGTTCTTTCGTATTGTAGTAAACGAACATCATCACCAATTAAAAATAAGTTAAACAAGTATTAATAGCTTCGTCAAGCAACAAACAGATTCTGATTCAACACGATTCGATATCGAGTCAAGTAGACTCAATAATTGACACCAAGTACCCGAAATTTCGATCGAGTTCTTTCGTATTGTAGTAAACGAACATCATCACCAATTAAAAATAAGTTAAACAAGTATTAATAGCTTCGTCAAGCAACAAACAGATTCTGATTCAACACGATTCGATATCGAGTCAAGTAAACTCAATAATTGACACTAAGTACCCGAAATTTCGATCGAGTTCTTTCGTATTGTAGCGAACGAACACAATCGGTATCGACTCGATCGCCAACTGTGGCCAAGCGCGGTGAAATAATCCAGCGTGCGACTCTGTTTCGTTTCTCGTAGAATGTCGTACGAAGTGTCAGTCTCGGCGACCTGTCCGGAACCGTACCTCGGGCCGAGCCTCGCTCAGACCTGTCCCGGATCGCAGTTCCTGACATTCATGACCCTGCTGGACACGTTCGTCCGTGGCAAGGAAGAAATTTCCCAGCTCTGCGAACGAGTCAGACCAATCGATCCAGCCGGGTACAACTACGACTTCATCGTCATCGGTGGTGAGTATAAACCGCTCGACATAACCGGTGCGAGATCGTCAAGTGGGAGGAGGAGGAGGAGGAAGAGGAGGAGGAGGGGAGAGGCTGCGCCACGAGCGCGCGGTAATTTTAATCGCGCGGCGCCGAGCGATTGATATTTTCACACGTCCCGCTGAAAACACTGTAACGAAAGCAAATGGCTTTCGCTGAATGATTTAACGCGCGCTTCTGCTGCCACGCTCTCAACGACAGCTTCGATTATTGATGCCACTTTCTCGTCGTTCCGATGCACGCGTAAATGCTAATATCGTAATGATGAATTTAATGGCGATTGTTTCGGAATGGCGAATAGCGCGTCAGCTATTTGTAACCGGAGTTCTGTCTCATTCACCAAAGTTAGTTGCAGCTATTTAAAATTCCAGAACTGATAATTGCTTCGTCGGCATTTTTGTAAATAATGGTGCGTACAACGAGCGTTTTTATACGAATACGTATAATACTTTCAAGATACAAATTCAAGGGATTCAATCAAAAAAAATTTTTTTTTTCAATTAAAAATCTGGGAACTAATCACCGAGTCAGTATTTTTGTAATTGACGAGATACAACGAGTGGTGCTATAAATTCAATGTTTCCAAAATGGCTATATGTATGTACAACTTTTAAATAATTAACCTATATTAGCTTTTTTATAATTAAGCTGTAAGCTATACATAGATTAGACGTGTGAAATTAATAACATTCTTCTTGTATCTTTTTCTTTTTTTTTTTTTTACAAAGAAATAGAATTAGAAAAACTGAAATTCTCTTGAAGAAAACCATTTAATTCAACCATATGATATTTAAAACTTTTCTAATGTTGTAAACAAAAGAAGGAATATATTCACAAATATCCCTCTCTCTTTGCTTATTATAAATTTTCCTTTAATTTCATTCTTCTCCAAAGAAAAAATCCAAAGGGTTCTCACGCTCAGGTGTGAGTAATTTTACAGCCCTTGAACTTCTTATTCAAAATCATCAACAATCTCGTTAACTTTCCGCTTGGCTTTTCCGGCTAATACATTTTAATGCATGTTCATGCACCTCGCGTAAAACCCCAGTCTTCGGAGTTGACTTTTTCACGAGCGATTTTAAATTTAATGACCAGAATATATAACGTAACGCTGATTTCCTTTCAGGATCTGCCCGTAAGTGCGGACATTCAGTCTGATTCTAAATTTATTTTAACATTCAAAGGTTCGCTTTTTGTCTTTCTCTTGTGTTACTTCGTAGTTTCTGGTTTTACTTTCTCTTTTTGTTTCATTTTCTCGATTGTAATGCAGATCCAGTTAAATATCAGACATAATAGAGTCTTCTTCTTTGGAACCACTATTTTTCGAATAAAAATAACATTTGGACATCGAGATATTAGAGAAATAGTGGTTCAATTGAAAATGCTTCGTCTACTGGGATTCTTAAATTTTCATTCGACTCATCATTAAAAACGGAAGATATTGAATAAAACATATTGCTTTGCTATTCCAACTCTGTTGTGAATTTTCATACTTCAAGAAGCTTTATTTCAAGAAGCTGTTTAAAAAATAGAATTTATTGAAATGATCACGCACTGACAAGAAATTTCTCTCTATTATTTCGTTTCAACTCGAGATAGTTTTTAACTTTGGAGAAACGAGTCGAAGAATGAAAGAACGTCAAGCTCGAATGAATACTGCTCTCGCATTTTGAAATTTTCCGCAATCCATCGAAAATCAATTTGTGACTAACACTTTGACAACCTCTGCTGTAAATGAATAAATAAATTCGTTTCTCGAATTTTATGTCGCACGGGATTGACCAGTCAACCTTCTCTGCGGAAGGAATAAAGTTTTTAGAAATGTTCCGTGTCTCGCAATCGTGACCGCAATTTTATTATATAGCGTTTTAATGTACAACCTCTGCAGAGTAAGAAAATACTAAATGATACGGTGTTTTCTTGTGAAATCATTAACTCTCAAGTCTCAGCAACCCGGAACTATTGAATCTAATCGACTCTTTAATGTACTTTCTTTTCATCTTAGACATTCCCCATTGTTTGAGCCTTCCACACTCTTTCCCTTCGATTCGATTACTAGAATTTCACCTAACCACTCCTTTTTTCCTACTTTTCTTGCATTTTTCGAGGCTGATTCAGTATTAATTTCTTGCTGTGTATACATATATATATATATATATATATGTATATAAAGAGAGAGAATATGATTGTGATAATTCATATTATATCACTCTAGAATTGATGATATTTAATTTTACTTCGTGTTTTACATTCTCCATGATAGAGAACAGTGATGAGATTCAATTTAAACCAGGCTCGAACAGATTAATACATTGTTTATTAGTACTAATCATTTTCTCATCATTTATTTTATTTAAGCAAACACATTTCATTCAATTAATCCCCAAGTTTGAATTAAACATTCCAAAATCAGTTAACCTGATTCGAAATCATTGACTCAATGATACTAATTGATTACTCATTCTCTGCATACACTAACCTTCAACTTACTCGCACTTGGTTTCTGTCCCTCAATAGTAAATAAGATTAACACACAAATGAAGCACAAAATTTCCATCAGAGGCATTAAAGCAACAGAAACAGAAAATCTTTATAACATAGGGTGGGCCGAAAGTTTCCCACCTATTTTTTTCCTTTTTTTTTTTTCTTTAATAAAACATCAAAATGAGAAAAAATTAATTTCAAGCACGATTCTTTCTTCCTTTCATTCTAAAAATTATTTCTTTCAAATATATGTATATAAAATTACATATTCATTTCGAGCATGATTCTTTCTTTCTTTCATTCTAAAAATTATTTCTTTCAAATATATGTATACAAAATTATATAATTTCTTCCAGCAGAAAGTGATTTTCGGCCCAACAGGGTACACGAGCTTTTCATTCGTGCATTTCACGAAGAATCATTCAAGTCTCTGAAAGCGCACTGTCTCGTATCCGTAAAACATTTAATAAAAATTTATTATCGACTGGTCATCTCGACCATTCCGGCAGCGCACGGAATTGTTAAAATGTCACCGGTTATCACGAAGCAACGAGGTGCCAAGGAAGTCAAACTGCAATCGAAGCGTTTCATCGGCCCGCTGTCCGACATTGTCTGAAACGGTGTTCGCTCGCAAACGAAATTCGCGACGACCGTCGTTTCCCGTGCACGCGATTGATTATTCCGCTTTAGCAAAATTGCACGAAAACTTGGGGGAGGGAGGAGGGGCGAATGCACTTGCCGTTTAATCGCGACTCGTCCCCATTTGCATCTGCTCGATGTATCCCGGCCGAGATTACAATTGGAAAGTTATCCGTTCACCGGCTACTGTCTGAACACAAGGCTGCCGCGTTCGTGTTGTTTCCGCGTGTTGTGTATGCAACGTGAAATAAAGAGAACGCCAGGCACCGTGTCCCTATTCGTTTGGACACGGATCGAGGCGATCAGTCAGCTAATCGTTATTAGCTAGCTCTACGACTTAATTGCATTAACATTTCCGGATGGAAACGTGGAATCGGAAGGCACAAGTGGAAAACAAATACCAACGAGTCGAGGCTTAACTGCTTGCGAAACTTTTCGCAACGAGTTCCATTCGTCGGTGTAACTACCTTCTCTAACGATCTACTTTCGCGGTGTTTTGCAAAAATGTATCCGTTTCGATCTTTGTTTTCGAGTCGTTTGTTTCGCGCGTGATTGTTCCCTGCGCGTTGAGAGAAGATGACAATCGCCGAGGGAAGAGTCGACGAAGAGGCGCGTCGAAACGTATACCGATTAGCTAACACGTAGGTAATGAGATTCGAATCTGTATAACATAATTTGTGTATTAGACGATTTGATTTGGATCACTTTCGGACGCAATTATTGTGAAAATCGGATGTTACGATGGGATTTGACAGCGTGATGAGTATTCGGTGCGAACGTAAAATTATATGATACAGACGCCGAGGGGAATTCATCGCTCTTGAAAACATTTCAGATGTCATGATTGTGATCGAGACTTTCGAGCTTCGAATGCATGAAAGAGCAAGGGGAAAAAATGAATTCTTAACTAAACTATTCTCTTGAAAACGAGGCGTTAAATGAAGAAAATTTCATTATAAATTTCCCACCATACGATGAACTTCTATTGATTATTCCTATTATTATCCTGTTACTATAATTAGTCAAATACAAGTATGTATGTATATTCGATAAATTTTCTTGACTAGACTATAAGCCTTGGATGTAAGAATTTTATCTCTACTTTTTCTTACAAGGAATTTCCTATTAGTTATTCACTTCTATTATTATTATACTTATATACTATTATATTATTATTATATTCACTTCTATTATTACATCTAAAGAAATAATTACGTGTGACTAAACTAAGCCGTGGATGAAAGAATTTTACACTATATCTTTGTCTTAATTCTTTTCTTTTTTTTTTCTGACAAAGAATCTCCTATTAATTATTCACTTCTACCTAAACCAGAATAATTAAAATACAAGTTTGTACACGTGGTAAATATTTAATCACGATTTTCCTGACTAAACTAACCTTTAAATAAAAGAATAAGGTCTAAAGTATTAGAATGGAAGAATTTTATACTGTGTCTTTCTCGCAATTTTTCGTAAGAAATCAATTCATACTTGCCGCGTTATTCAGCTACGCCTTGTGGACGTACATTTGAAACAATTCGCGTCAGACATAAGAAAACTTCGGCTTAACTATTACTAACAACGTCATTGAATCAACATGAAAAAGTTGCACGAAATTTCTCGGTATTATCTGATATAGATATCCAGCAACTAAATTCGACGCGAGTGAAATATATACATTGTTAGTTATTGTTTCTGGCAGAGAAGAAACCGGTTAACGAAGGAGAAACCTTCCCTCCCGTCGAATGCAAATGCCGCGGAATCCTGTTACGCGAGATGTATTCGTTTCAAATTGATTTCGTATCGGAAACGATTTCTTGCAGGATGAATATCGAAATTAGGTCAAT